CTGCTCCGGCTCCAAGCCCTCCTCCGCACCGGCGCGAGTCCTAGCGCGGGACGCACCAGCTCGAGGAGCTCCAACGCGACTCCGCTTCATTTTTGCCGGGTAATTTTGAAGCTGGAACCCGGTTCTGTTTAAGCTGGAACAGCTCTTTGAGGCCGGGAGCGTTGATTTCAGGGCAGCGGCAGTTTTCCTGGCTTAAAGCGTTGGTGAAAAGATGGCTTTAGACAATGAGCTTAGCAGAGCATGACTTACCCAATGAGCTTAAATTAACGACCTGACTGTTAGAGGGCTTACGTTAGGTGGGACGAACCCCATCCTTCACATCTGTGCAAAGTAAAAGAGCAGATCAATGTGACTTGTGCTAGAGCGCTTCCTGTCCAGTGCGTGGGCACGCTGGCTTTCCAGTAGCTTGACCACTGGGCCAAAATCCTTGCCGAGACGCCAGTCCGTAGGCTCGTCCGACGCAGAAAGGCTTGCGAGCGCAACGCGCGGCAGGAAGCCACCAGGCTCGCGTGTGCAGGAGGCGGAGGGCGGGAGGGCGCCCAGGCTACGACCTTCATTGTGTGAGCGCGGGTTACAAATCTTAAGCGTGGAAGGCGGCTTTTGTGCCGGATTACTGGGGCGGGATTGACACGAAATCAATACGGGGCGCTTAGCAAACGCCCGACGTCGCGCTTCGAATCCACGCACCCGTTGGTCCCTACGGGATCAGGTCTGTGCAGCATCAGTGTTGAGATTTAATTCGCATCGAAAAACAAAGTTTGTTCGGTGAAGCCTACGCTCATGAAGTTAGGACTAACCAGGTAAACGTACCGTTAAACGTCCCTCCATGCAGTGCTATAAATTCTGCGATTATTCTTTAGCTAGCGCTCTAAAGTGTTTGAATGTAAATTGTTGTAGTTGTTCCTGTTGCTAATTTAAAACTTTTAATATTAATCTTTTCTGACTGGTGTGAGGTGTCAGTTCTCTCCAAGTGTTAATTCCCTCCCAGGCCGCTGGGAGCGGGAATACGTTACTATCTCTGAGCTCTATTGTTTGTTGTGTCTTGGTTTTTTTTTTTTTCCCAGTAGTAATCGCAAGTCTCCCCCTTTCCCTCCCCAAATCTTCTGTGCCGAGATGGTCCGCTTCCGCTTACAATCCCTTATTGTAGACTACCGTCTTACTGGTAGTGGCCAGTGCAATTTCGGGCTCCAGGCGGGACGTCTCAATCTGCGGAATCAGACAGGAGGAAGGATCAGTATCACACGCGTCTGCTGCAGCAGGAGCTGGACAGATCAATAAATTAACACGGCGAAGCAATCCCGGCCTAGGCGAGCGCACGCCGTCGGCGCAGGTCTCGGCACGAGCCTCAGCGGGGAGGGGGGGGGGACACCCACGGGCACCAGGGTAAGAGGCTCTGTGACTACAGCCAGGTCCCCTGGAGTTACTTTGGCTGTAAACAACAGGTAAATAAGCCAGTAACAACACCGTATCACGGCTGGGACCTGGCGTGCCCATCACGCCTTTCCCAGGTGGCTCCGATGCGCTTTGCTCTGGTTAAGTCGCAGGAAAGGCCTTATATTGCCTTGCCTCGCACGAAACGACGCACGCGCTCTGCCTTGCTACCTTAAATCAAATATACAGCGTCGCTGAGAGTCAAACGAGTCCCAGCCGTCGTCTTAACGTGAGGCTCGTCCTCCTTCTGCCGGAGTCAAGCTCCCCTGGCAGCACGCTAGGGACCCAGCGAAGCCGCGCCGGACCCAGACCCAGCGCCGGGAGCCCTGCGTTCTGCAGCGGGGATGGCGGCTACGGCCCCTCACCCACCCGCGCC